GAAAAATATCAAATACCTGGTATGCGACACGAACTTTCTTGCCATTGCTAGCAGACGAGGAAAAATCGATTGCGGACAAAGGTTCTGCAAACAGAACGCCATTTTTTAAAGTTTGCACTTTGCACGACTGCTAATAATCATAAACATTCCAGGTTTTACGGGGATTAAAGATAAGATTTTTTTTGGCGTAGGGCACGAGTTACTTACTTGGGAGAGAGCTTAAATCCCGGTTTAATCTGGGGGCTATGGTAATCTGAGATGAGTGAATTCCATCTTCCACAGACGCCATTGCCCGCTGAGGAAGATACAGAAACTGCCTTCGGACCCTGAAATTCAACAACGGACGCCGAGGGCTCGCGAAATCAGAAACGCGGCCATGATTGGCTGCGTAGTTCGGAGTTGCCGCATCCGCCGCCGCCAGAGCCATGACTGATTACTGTATCAAATTCTCTCAACGAACAATTAGGCCGATGGATTATGTTGATGATTTCGAGTTTAGGAGAATTTCCTTGTGTTTTTTTGCAAGATGATGATGATATTTTGTTGCGACTTTTCTCAGGAAAATTTATGAAATGCCTATGTCAGCTTCTAGATATATTGACTGTTATACATTCACCAACTTTTGATGATTTTGATTTTATTTTTTTTCATAGTTTGAAAAAATTCAAGGTTGCATATGTTCACTTGTTCATTTCATTGATATAAACGATACAGACAATGATGTTATATTTGTAGTTTTGTGCACTTGTTATTCATTAAAAATAATGTACACGATATTAATGTGAAAGTAGAACAAGAGATTTGATGCCGTGCAATGAATACTAACGGGAGATTTTCAATTTTATTTGCTTTCGATTTCATGAAAACTAGCAACGGGAGATTTTCAATTTTATTTGCTTTCGATTTCATGAAAACTAGCAATCAGCAAGTGCATATATTTTTAAAAAATAACGATATAAGAAAAAATAAAAATAAATTTTAATTTAATTCATAAAAAAAAATATGAATTAAGAAAATAATTTTTAAAATTGATTTTGATCAAGTAATTGCTATAGAAGAACCGTTACAACCATTTTCTCTATGTTTATTTTCATGAGTGCGTGTGACTTAAATTTTGAGTACAATTTTGTAACTCCCTTGATTGGTTTATACTCATAATTTATGGCATTCAAGCAAGTTATTTTGTAACTTAAAAATGAAATTGAATGTTGATAATTTTGGAGGGAGAATAAAATTTAATACATGATAATATAATTTAATATTTTGTTGCTCCTCTTTATATATATATAGATATCCCATGGACTAGGGGTAGACATGTCAAAACGGGCCGGCGGGGCGGGCCAGCCCGTAGNTCTTCCCCCAACAAAAATACATCAAAATCGCCAGAAATCTAAAGCTCCTCGTCCACCTCTACCTCGATTCCGACAAGCCTCCGCCCGCCGGGAACCACTCCAGCCAGACTGGCCAACCACAGATCCACGGAGCCACGCGACAGCGCAGCTCGGCGCGAATGGAACTCCTCGGCACTGGCGTGCGCCCGATTCTTACTATGAAAGATATTTTATTTTGGCATTAGTTCGATTAGTTCGAACAAGCATCTGGAACCACAAGAAGATCCTTGTATACTATATTTCCTTAAGTAATATTGTTTTATATTCCTTATATAAGTTCGTGTAGATCTTATTACGGTTTTGATATGATAGGAAATTGCGCGTGGAGAGACAAAGAAGAGGGAGGAAAGAGGCATGCTTGGAGAGGAGATCAATGAGAGAGAAGAAAAGATTTCTTACCAAAGATATGGTATTATCTTGGAAGGAAATCTTGTTTGAAGTCCTATGCCTTGTGGAAGACTCCAACCCTAAGGAGTTCATATATATACCCTTGAAGAAGCTTATGGCGGCCGTGGATTTTGAAAAAGAAATATTCGAGAGCCATTCAAGCTTCACTTTGCTTTCGGTTCTATTTTGATTGTATTCAGTTCAGTCTGAGAGTTCTTACAAACTCAAGGACTAGTACTGCTTTCGTTTAGTTCTTTATACATTTCATCAAAACTATTTTACGGTTTGTACACTTATTCCCTAAGTGTAGGTTTATAAGTCCACGGGACGTGGCCGGAGAATTAGTTGATAGGATCAAGTAGTGTTGGCTAGATTTGAAGGGAGTTCGAATCTTTGTAACTCCAAACTATGTATACGAGTGATCTATCAATGAAAGAGCTCTGAGGGGAAGTGGGATGCTTCCCTGAAGAGTTTATTAATCTTCGATTGTTTGCTTCCGCATTTTACAATTCTTATTATAGTTCGTACTACTATTCGCGCACTCCGTGACAAATATAAGTTTCAATTGGCACCAGAGCAGTGTTCCTGTTCTTACTACGGGATAAAGATCTTTGGGACTGTGTGTTGGTCACCATGAGTCACGATGGAATGTCTGTTTCGCGCCCTCCGTTCCTTGATGGAGCAAACTATGCTTATTGGAAATCCATGATGGTAATTTTTCTTCGTTCCCTTGGTAAAGGCTCGTGGCAGGCCGTTGAATCAGGATGGTCGACACCACTTATGCCAAAAGCTCCTGCTGAATTTAAACAAGGTGAACCTTCGGATGCAAAGTCGTCTAGTTCTGCCACTCAAGTTCTTGTTGAAAAACCAAGGAGTCTTTGGACTGACGATGAAAAACAAGCGGAAGAAGCGAACTTCCGTGCCTTGTATGCTATCATGTCTGCAGTAGATCCAACTCGTCATAAGATAATCATTCAGTGTACCACCGCTCAAGAAGCCTGGAGGATTTTGGAAAGACAATTTGAGGGTACAAATGCCGTAAAAACCTCAAAGCTGCAAAGAGTCTCCACTGAACTCGATGAAATCCGCATGAGGGAGGATGAAACTATCGATATGTACTATGCTCGGTTCTGCGACCTAGTTAACCAAAGTGCGATGCTTGGTGAACCGGTTCCTGAGGCTAGACAAGTTCAGAAATTGATGAGAACTCTGCCGGATAGGTTTGGGATCAAGATCACAGCACTTGAGAGCTTTCAGAGGATTCAGAAACTTAGCATTGATGATCTTCTCAGCGAACTTCGGACATTTGAAATCAATCATGGTTTTGATTCCATGAGAATAAGCAAAGGAAAAGGCTTAGCACTAAAGGCCAAGGTTCGCACCTCAGTAGCTGAAGATGAAGAATCTGATGAGGAATCTTTTGATCCTGATGAAATCACCAAGGCACTTACTGTACTCTCCAAAAATGTCTCGAAGCTGAAGAAATTTCAGAAAAAGAGGTTTCAGGGTAATAGATCGTTTGATGGAGGTAGGAACCAAATTCAGCAATTCGGAGAGAAGCGTTCTGGCTTGCAGATGAACAAGTTCCAGAATTCCAATCAAGGAGTAGAGAATGACCAATGCCGTGAATGCAAGGGCTTTGGACATTTTCAAAAAGAATGTCCTAATTTCAAGAAGAAGAACAAGACATTCAAGGCTACGTGGTCTGATTCCAGCGACGACGAAGACAAAGAATCTGAAACGACTGAGAATTCTAACTACTCAAATAACTCCGCTAAATGTCTTCTTAATGAATATAACTGCTTTACCTCTTCTGTTCATCTAACTGATGTTGAATCTGATGCAGGTTCTTACGCGAAAAACCTGAGCGAAGTGGACTCTGATGAATTTTTGGACCCAGCTGCCGAGAATCTTGTACTTCACAAGTACGCGATTGAAAAGTGTCTCAAGGCAAGAGACATCATCAATAAGTACCATGCACAAAAACAGAAGATGAAGGCTCTGGAACAACGATCTAGCGAACGTGAGAAAGAGATTGACTATCTTAGGAGTGAGCTTCAAAAGATGAGAGTGATGACAGTCGATTTGAACGAGAAGCTCATTAAATCGGATCTCCATACCGCAAAGCAGGATAAGAACTTAAATAGTTGTTTTGCAAAACTTGCCTTGGTTGAACATGGGGATAAACTCAACAGGCAGGCAAGTGACGAGCAGAATTTTATTATTGAAAACTTACGTAACGAATTGTTTGCTTTGCAAAATGTTGCAGGTGAGAGAGAAACTGAGATAGCCGTACTCAAGGAGGAACTCGGGCGATTAATGGAGGAACACATGACACTCAGAAGTCATTGCTCTACTCTTGAAGAGAAGTTAGGCAAAAGCGAGGAAGTCGTCAAGATGATTAATAAACCCAAGACCTCATATGCAGAAGTTCAAAGACTAAGTCAACAGATTGGTTCATCCGACTCAAGTAAGAACCTCCATAATCAGAAACTGAAGGGGAAGGTCGGAGAATCAGATACCTCACTAAGGAAGACAGGTCTGACTTTTGTTAAAGAGGGGTACTCACTAGACCCCAAAAAGGGTAAGCCAAACTTCCCAAAAGCATCACACAAAGATTCAGGTAAGAACTTTGTACCCGTGTGTCATTACTGTGGGATTCGAGGTCATATTCGTCCCAAGTGCTACAGAATGCATAATGATATATATACAGGTCAAATTAGTGACTGGAGTCCTCACGGTGTTCCTTTGAAAGCACCTAAACTCAAAATTGACATTGTAAATTCTGAACAGAAAAAGATCTAGGTTCCAAAGGTAAATAAGAACGTCTGTCTGTCTTCTATAATTGCCTTGAAATCCACCTCTAATTCTGACTGGTACTTTGATAGTGGATGCTCTCGTCACATGACAGGGATAAAATCCAACTTGGTTGATATTATGCCTGTCTCATCTAGTTCAGTAACTTTTGGTGATGGAGCTAAGAATAAGGTTCTTGGAGTGGGGTGTTTGAATGTTCCTGGTCTGCCTAAACTTAAAAATGTTCTTTTGGTTCAAAACTTGAAGGCAAATCTTCTGAGCATTAGTCAATTGTGTGATCAGGGTCTGTATGTGAATTTTACTAAAACTCAGTGTCGTGTGTCTGATCAAGAAAACAAACATGTTCTTACTGGTACTAGATCTAGGGATAATTGTTATCTAGTGGAATTTGATTTGAAGTGCAATAAAACCAGTACTGATATGACTGAACTATGGCACCAAAAGTTAGGACACATCAATTATCCTCACTTACTTGAACTTTCGTCTACAGGGGCTGTTCGAGGATTGCCCAAGCTGAGAAAGGAAGTACCACGGGTGTGTGGATCTTGTCAAATGGGCAAACAGAAAAGAGCGTCACACAAGAGGTTGACTGAGATCAGTACGAACCAGATAATGGAACTGATTCACATGGACTTGATGGGACCGATTCAGGTTGAAAGCTACAGTGGTAAGAAATATATTCTTGTTTGTGTGTATGATTACTCTAGATTCTCTTGGGTTGATTTCTTAAAAGATAAATCTGATGCTCTTGATGCTTTTAAAAAACTTGTGCTGAAACTTGAGAATGAAAAACGGACCAATCTTGTTGCCATTAGAAGTGATCACGGTAAGG